CCTAAGCCCTAAACCTCCTAAACCCCGAGCCCTTCCTCACCTTCATGCGGTCTCTTCGTGACTGCTAGCAAAACGGGGAGACCTCCGCCTCGTCTTTGCTTACGACTGGATCCTGTGGCCGAAGTTTAGGTCGGCGGCTGATCACCTTTAAGGGCTTAATATAGGGGCCTTAAATAATTAGATTAGGGTTTGGGGGCCCAGTATACTATACTTATAATAGGGAACCCCCAAAATAGTGTAGGTAATTACTTAGGCCCCTATATTAGGGTTCAGGGTTTAGGGCTTAGGGTTAAGGTTTTAGGGTTGAGGGCTTAGGGTTTGGGATGTAGGCAAGTGGCCATCGCCCAGGTCTTCAAGAAACCGCTCTGACAGTTGTAGTTGCTCAGAAGACAGCAAGCGAATCGCCATCGACTTGTGGGCATCGACATCTAACAGAAACTACAACCTTCCAGCCTAAACCCTACACATCCCTACATGATACATAACAGCAGAATACAGGAGATCACAAATTTCGAGTGGCTTCATGTGTCTTTAACATGGGTTTTTGAGGGTCCAGGGTACCGAATACTGCGGTCGTAAGATTGGGGGTAGTAGCAGCGTAAGTTGCTTGTAGCGATGACTATCCGGTACTTGGGCCCTTAAAGGCCTCACTGTGGGTTCAATTGCGGTCCAGGGGTGCCCCGAATACAGGACGGGGATTTCGCCCCTTGCACACACCAGTTCGAAAAGCGGCACCGCTGCGGCTGCAAAAGCTGCTGCTTTAGCTCGGTTTCTTCTGGAGTCTGGCAGCTGTCGCCGCTCCTGCTCTTCCCATTCCTGACACCAGTCATCACAAGCTTGGGACTTCCGGGGGGGGCCCAGCCCCTGGGACCGTTCTGAAGCGGTCCCCGCAGGCTTCGCAGAAGTACGGTTGCTGACGTCGGGCCTCCTCCTCCTGCTAAGCCCTTTAGGGTTTAGGGTTTATATAAGCCCTAAACCCTAAACCCTAAACCTCCTCAAGTTGATGACGGCGCAACTTCGGCCAGCCATCCCTTCGTTCTGATTGCGCGAGTCTTTGAGACTGAAGGGCCAGCATGTCAGGGCTACAGGGTTGCGACGACAATCCTGAGGCTTTAGGGCTTGGGGCTTAAGTAACCCCAAGCCCTAAACCCTAGAAGCCCTAGACTACGCCCCAAACCCTATGTACCTTTCGCAGTTTATACTTGGTAAGGTTCAGGGTCCCAGGCGCAGTTAAGACGTGGACTCCGGAACAAAACAAAACAACATGGCCCCACGGATTCTCACACCTCATTCATGGACTGCTTTCAATAATCTTCTTGAGTATGCAACATCCAGAAACTCTAACCCTCGAGAACCCCGAAGCACCCGAACCCGAACAGAACCCTAAGATCCATCCCTAAAGCTGAGTCACTCGTCTAAACCCAAAGCCCTAAACCCAAAACCCTAAAACCCTAAACCCAAAACCCTGAACCCTAAACCCTAAACCCCAAAATCCTAAAACCCCGAACCCCTAAACCCTAAACCCTAAGACCCTGAACCCTAAAACTTAGTCACTCGTCCACGGCCCTGCATCCCAAGGTCGGGTCCTTACCCATTGCGAGTCCCCCGCCTGTCGAAGCTCTGCGCCCAGTATCTCCTTTCGGGCTGTCTAGGGCTTAGGGTTTAGGGTTCGGGGGCTTAGGGTTTAGGGTTTAGGGTTTAGGGTTCGGGGGCGCACAGGGCTGAAGTTTAGGACTTTAGGGTTTAGGGTGTGTTGGTTCGGGCTTGCGAATTGCCGGGGCATTCGGAGTCTTAGGTTGGGTCTTTCAGGATCTCTGCGGTTTAGGATTTCACGACCTACGCCACGACTTGTTTGGATCCTAAATAGCCCTTAGGGTTTTGGGTTTAGGGTCTTAGGGATTGAGGTTTAAGGCTTCAGGGTGTTATGGTTTAGGGCTTTAGGGTCTAGGGTTTAGGGGTAATACCTCTGGCTACAGACTGAAGCCGTAGAACCCAGAAGCATGCCGCGGTTGCCATCGGAAGTTGTGGCCACGATGACACCACTACATATGGGAGTTTCAGAAAATTAGGGTACCTTATTTTGGGGTCCTTATAATAGGGATCCTAATATTTAGGGTACTATGTTAGGGTCCCCTATTTTCGGAAACCCCCATATGCTTATGTATGAACCTCTGCACAATGGGCAGAGTCCATACCCTTACCCTCAAAGGACTCATACTTTAAGGCTTTTGGGCCCAAAGACCCTACTATAAAAGGCTTTTGGGCTACTTTGATGCTAAGGGATAGAGATACCGATTAACTTGCTTTGCAACCTTCAACGAATCTGCTGCTCCTGCAGTTTACACAGTTCTCTAGGGCCTGGGAATGGAACCCCTAAGTGAAGATGACACCAGGCTACTCCCCGAGTTCACAACATAGCTTAGATCTGCCATTCACACTATACATGCTCATCGGAAGTCAAGTTGTTTAAAGATCAACCTTAAACCCTAACCCTAAACCCCACACCCTAACTTGCAGATCTACTGAAGCCCCAAACCTTGACTCCTGAATCCCGAAATTCCAAACACCCACACCCGATCGCAGCCTGAACTTAATGGTTTAGGGTTTAGGGTTAAAGAAACGTGAACACTCTGAAACCCAACCGCCAAACACGCAAACCCTGAACTCTCAAAGCCAAAGCCCTAAGCCCCAAACCCGTAAAACCAAGCCCCCCAACCCTCATACCGTACTCATACTAATTACCACAGCTTTGGACCAAAACCTGTTGACATCGATTGACCCTCATCACCACTCGGACTCAAGCCCCCTGCACCCGGCAAATTCTGGAGACCTTAATCGTTGACGCGCTTCTCATCCCAAAACCTCAAACCCCAAACCCCATCAGCCTAAACCCAACACCAGACCCAACACCCCGAAACCCAACCTCAAAAACCCAAAACTCTGAACCCCAAACACTCCCGTAAACCCTAAACCCCAAACCCCAAACCCCAAACCCTAAACCCTAAGCCCCAAAATCCTAAACCCTAAACCACCCCGTCGCGCCTGGCGCCGGCTGTGCTCTTCGAGGCCTCCTCGGAGCTCCTGCGCCTCCTGGGACTTACCGAGTTGGGAGAACTTTTCTCTACAACATAATATATTATATACTGGTATTCGAAAGTATACAAGAATTTATGCAAGAATACATATATATATATATATATATATAATAGTATATGATGATAGTATATAATAGGCGAAAAGATCTTCGATCCCCAATGCAAAGCGCGTGACTCAGGCTGCGGATATGATGGGACCTCGGGTGCGGCTTCAAAGTCGCGCCATAGTATTGACAACCCTACTTGCTACAAGTAAGTCATTCAAACTGCCACGTTCTGAAACCAAACCCCAGAAACACATGCCTTCAGTGAACTCCTGGCCGGTAAGTACCCTTGAACCTGCCTGGGTGGCGAAAGAGAGGCGGGCCGCCAGGCGTGTCTCGCCTCAGTTTCAAGCCGGCCCTGATAGGTCGAAGCCCTCCGCTTCGATCCTCGCAAGCTTTAGGGCCTTCAAGGTTTGAGATTTTATGACGGTTACTAATTGTATCAAGCATATCTTGATAATAATATATATATATATATATATACAGATAGACATATCTTATTGCACAACATCATGCTAGATATCATATTGTATAATTCTAACATTGGGTTGTAGCCCCAACCGGACGAAACAATAGTCGGTTGTGACTCACCCTAAGCCCGAAAACCATGGGTACAACCCTAAACCCTAAACCGATAGCGAATCGGAGTCACAGGTCGTCTTGACGATTCGGGAAGATCTTCGCAGCTTAAGATCAACATAGGGGCCATATTCATAATTAGAATAAGGTTTTTGGGGTACATCACAGTATGCTCACATTACGGAACCCTAAAGTAGAGTATTGGCAAGTCTTCAGGCCCCTACATTATTTTGGTCTCCATACTACTTGACCTCAGGACCCGACGACGACTTGACGATCCGCACTTCTTGCGCCGTGGGATCGTTGCAGGGCGGGGATTGGGGTATTTTAGGGTTGAGGGTTTAGGGTTGGGGGATTTAGGGTTTAGAGTTGAGGGGATTTAGGCACTAGGGTTTAGGGTTGCGGGTTTAGGGTTGGGGGATGTAGGGTTTAGGGATTTAGGGTTTCACAGTTTAGGGCCAGGCTTTTGGGTTCAGGGTTTGGGACCAACTCAGGAGCAGCCATCTTGCCGATCGAGTGACGCTCTCCGGCTTCGTTGCGACACACCGCCATACTGGCCTTGCTGAGCGGTGGCCCTATCTAACTTGAACCCCACTGGTCCCACTACTTGCGAAGTTAAAGTGCAACAAGAACTCCAAAACCCTCAACCCGGGAAGTGGGATCCATGCAGCAACAGGTTCCAGGTTAGGGGAGTTCCTTGGGGCCTCAGTCGGTTCGAGAAAGTTCGTCGTAGCAGCGCCTGCAGCGCGTAATTGGAGCTCAATCCGGGCCACCATGCAAAGTTCAACAACATATGAGCCCCGGGCTGCGCATCGCTGCAAAAGAGGAAGATTAAGTGCATTCGCAGCTACACATGCAGGTAGCGGATACTCCGGGTGCACCAGTGTCTGGTCCGAGTTTCGAGAAGACGTCGGTTAAGGAGCGCAACTCAGTATCCATACTCCATGGTGTCCAGCGATTACTGTAAGGAACACATGGGGGTTTCCGAAAATAGGCGACCCTACTACAGTACCCTAAATAGTAGGATCCTTATTATAAGGACTTCTAAATAAGGTGTCCCTTTCGGAAACTTCCATATAGACCTACTTACAGTCACTAAGTCCAGTAAGTTTCTTCGAAATACTAAGCCTTTATCATAACCCTTTCCGTGGACAGTTACAGAACCCTGTACATGGAATCCTTCAACAAACCCTCAGACGAAACCTTGAATAGAACCCTGAAAGGAAGTTCCTGGAGAAAAAAACCCTCGAAGCAGGGTCTTTGCTAAGTTTTGATGACGAGAAAAAGCAGAAGCTCGGCTCAGTAGGAGGTCAGTTTAGGCCAAAGAACATCAGAGGGTTGTCATAGGGGAGGGCTCAAAACGGGTCCTATACACGGGTTCTACAAGGGTCCTGTCAGAGTTTAGTTCAGTGGTTTAGGGCTTCGGGTTTATAGAGTTTCAATGTTTCGGGGATCAGGTTCTTAGGGTTCAGTAAGGTTGGGTTTGGGGCTTGTGGCTTACAGTTGCAATCCACAGGCCCAAATCCCAACACCCCGCAGCCTCAACTGCTCCGACGGAGCTTGCTGGCTCTGAAATCGCAAGGCAGAGCGACCGTTGAAAAATGACATCAAAAACGAAACCCTAAACCCTAAACCCTACACTCTAAAACGAGCAGTGTCAGTCTGATGATCTGACGGTGGTGGCAGCCGCATCAACCCACAGCTTGAAGTACCGCAAACAAAAACTACAAGTCGAAAGGGTCCCGCACAAAAAATCCTAAAGCCCCTAAAGCCCAAACCCCAAACCCTAAGTCCCAAATCCTAAACGTATGCGCTACCACGGGGGCTGACAGCAACACGGGCTTTGAAACAGGCTGCCTGGAGCTGCGTTCGGAGCTCCTCGCAGGTTGCCTCGATTCAGCTATCCTCATGAAAAGTAATATTATACATACACATATGCTAGCATACCTCTCTCTCTCTCTCTATATATATATATATGTAGATGGCTAGACAGATAGATGGATGTATAGATAGATAGATGGATAGATAGAGGTAGACATACACACGTAGTAGATAGGCAGCTTAGAGCTTGCATCGGTCGTGTTAAACGGTTTAGGGTTTAAGGCTGATTTTGAGGCTTTTGGTTGGGCGGGTTTGGGGCTCAAGACTGGCAGCATTTAGCCACGTATCCGGCCACGACCTTTTTTTGCAGAAACATGCTGGGCACGTGCTTTCGTGCAAGTATGTTGCGATGTTCAGGTATCCGTCGTCAGTCCAAGGAATTTTCACTCTTGCCGAGTGGATGAATGGGACCGCAATTCAGCGATGTCTGGGTCAGGAACTCCTTCCTTCGAATCTTTGCCTTGGACTCGACTCGCAGGCGCGCAGCACGACCTCTTACGAAGCACACAAGTACTAGCTGTCCTTGTTATTCATCTTATTGACATGTCTCATGCCAGCGCTTCCGGGCATGTGACATGGGACAGCAAGCCAGAGCCCCAGCTCTAGCTGCAGCTATTCTCCAAAGCTGTTCTGACATGTTTCTTGCTGTTCCTACACTGCCGTCATGCTTCCAGCCCTGTCGCGCCATACCCTTCAACTGTAGTCGAACAGAGAAAATCAAAACATCCGCAGTTACTCAGAGGTTTAGGGGACTTTAAGAGTTGGGGATACAAGCAGACTAATATGGCTTGTCAAAAAAGAGGCCAGAGTAATCAGTACCATCATCCCCTTATTGCCCCCTAATTTCAATGTTGTATAATGCCCCTGAAGTTTATAAAGACCCTATGCGTGAGGGTTTGGTATCGAAGATACGCTATATGCTCACCTCACCGAGCTTGTTGTTGACGTTGTTGGGTATTGCCAATGTTGAACTCAAACTCGCACAACAGTGACGCGAAGCGATCCCCTCTTTTGCTCTCGTCTGGCCGGACGAAGTGTCTTTGCAGTCGGGAAT